AGTGTTAGTGTTAAAATATAGTGTTAAAAGTAACACCAGCCAGTGTTAAATATTCAACAATATTGGGTGTCATTAACATTTCAACAGTGTTAATATAAAGTGGTAGAATTAACACCAGTGTATCGTCATTAACAAAGGAAATTGTGGTGTTAGAAAGACTAACAAACACCACAAGGTGTCAATACACCATCAAATTGATAGTGTAAATTTAACACTCAAGAGTTAATATCAGACTCTTTGTAGTGTTGTATTAGCACTGCTCAGTAGTTAGTAGAAAAGTACAATGGAGCCACCCTTCACACACCAGGACATACCTCTCACTCATTGTGTCGATTTATGGCCAATAACACAAACTTAAAGTTGAACAACTTGATTAAACAAGAAAACAAATCAGAAACAACAAATTTTTACTCTCCTAAACTTCTTTAATAGTCATAAACATGCAAAAACATAATTTCTGCAAGATTTCTCAGCAAGGAATGCTGGGTAAATACTGGACTGTCTTGACATGAGATGGAAGAGGGCGGGGCTTTTCAGAACACTTCTTTAAACATTGCATGGTGTTATATAACAACACTGYTAGGTGTTATATAAAACTTAAGAGTGGGCRGAGCTTATTAAACACTGTTCAGTGTTGATACAACTCTGAGGAAATCAACACTGTGGATTAACACCAACACTGGGTGTCAGTTTACTCGGAAAGTGTTACAATAACACTAAGGGGTGTTACATCAACACCCAAAAGTTTAACACTGGAATTTTAACAATGGCTTTAACTTGTATAGTGCTTTATCAAGTCTCTTATGAATTCCAAAGCACTTTACACCTCAGCCATTTACCCATTCATACACTGATGTTGGTGAGCTACATTGTAGCCACTGACAGAGGAGGACCTGGCTCCGGCACCACTGGGTCTTCTCACAACCACCAGTAAGCAAAGCAGGTGAACAACTGAGACAGATGGAACGGGGGATCGAACCATCAACCCACAGGTTACAGAATGATACTCCTAACCACTCTGCCACAGCCACCCAAAGATGTGACCATTTAAGGGTTTCCTTAGACAAACAGGAGGCTCCAGGATATAAAGACATCTGGAGTAAAGAAGAAAACATTGCGATCCACAAACAGACTGACCCACAACTCTTGCAATTTTAGTTTTACTGCAACACCAAAGATTAAATGTGACAGTGAATTACTGCAACAGCTGGGTCACAGAGGCTCAGTCAGTATATGCTTCAAAACTTCTAAAACCCATGCATCAAATATGTGACTCATCATATCGAAACAAGGATAATGTCTAAAAACGGGATATTTAGAATTAGGCAGATATAGGGTGTTGATTAAAACGTTTGAAAAAATTGCATGTTGTCAAAGTATAACAAACAAATACTGTAAATACCTAATCAATGCATTGTTTGAATGAATTGTCTGAAATATAATCATAAAACCAAATTTTGAAGCACTTTTTTGAGCAGTAACAACAACAAAAAACTGATTTTGAGGAAAAATGTCTTAAAATAGTAAGATTTTCCCTGTGAGCCAGCAAAGTTGTTGTGTCTTTCCAGCTCGGAAATCTTAATAACCACATATTATTTGAGGTTTCCTCTTTATAATGACATGAAAAATTCCCTCGYTAAAATTACATAAATTAATAATTTAACCCAATTACTATTGTATTATTGTAACCAACAAGACAAATTAAGTCATGTCTCTGGATCTGCCTATGTATCAGAATGGTCCAGGTATCAAAATGTAGCTTTTAAATAATTTAGAAAAAATTTGATTAGGTCATTTTGACCTAATTTGACTTAATCTTCATTTTGATTTGATGGGTCACATATATTAAATAAAAATGGCTTAACTCAAGAGAATAAAAGGGTTTTCTCAGCCCATTTCAAGCCCTTTTCATGCATTGGTTACATTGTTGATTTAAAACAAGACATTCACGGTCATTTAAAGACCAATCGGGTGGCTCAGAGCTGCATCAGCTTGTGTTTCTACAGCTCAATGAATCAGCTGAGAACAGAGTCACTGAACTGAGACAACTCTTTTCTCTACACTTCTCTTTTTACTTGGACACGGTCCCTCATTCTGAGCAGACATGGGGCAGCAGGTGATACTGGAGAGGATCGACTCGCTCCCAGAGTTAATGGTGGCTTACTGTAAAAACACATAGATAGGTTAAGAAGAGTAGCAGACAAAGAAAAATTTGGAAGACTCGACTGGACCGCATGTCACTAAGTTTAATCTCAGGACTACACAGAAAGTGTTATACTTTGTCTTTCTTATTAAAAATGGCTTTGCCAGGAATTCCTCAGGTTCTGTTTGTAACATTTTACAAACAGAATTTCTTGGTGCATCCAGAGTGTGACAGGGGTCTGGTTTGGTGACCTCAGACTTGTGTCTCAGCTATTGGCAGATGAGGTGGTCCTGCCTGATGGCCTTCTCTGGGTTGGGAGTGAGGTGCTGCCTCACGTGGAGGAGTTTACGTGGGTTTGGATTTTGTTCATGAGATAGGGTGAGACGTTCAGTWATCTGTAGAGCCGCTGCTCCTCCATATCGAGAGGACCCAGTTGAGGTGGTTTGGCAATCTGGTAAGGACACCCCCAATGTACCTCCTGAGGAAAGTTTTTCCTGTATGAAACGCTGGAGAGACTATGTCTCTTATCTGGCCCAGGAACACTTTGAAATCCTCCTACTGTAGAAGAGATGGAAGAGGTGGCTGGGGAAAGAGAGGTCTGAGCATTCCTGAGGCTGCCCCCTAGGACCTGACTCTGGAACAAGCTAAAGATGATGGATGGATGGATGGATGAATGGATGGATGGATGGTAGGTTGGATGTATAGTTGGATGGATGGATGGATGATGGATGGATGGATGGATGGATGAATGGATGGATGGATGGATGGATGGATGGATATTTCCTGCAGAACAAGATGTTGCCCAGATGTTTTCTTTAAATTTCTTCCCTGTTTTTGTTTTTTAGAGCATGTCCTCAGCTGCTGTCGCCAGCTGCTTGGTGTCTAAGGAGCCTTCGCTGGAGCAGATGTCTGGGAGTCAGGAGAGAGCTGATCATGTGAAGACTGCTGCCCTGTGGATAAATGAACCTTTGAGTGGCCTGCTGGCAGATCTAAACCCATGTGACCAATCAGAAACTGATCAAAGACTCAGGTAGAGTTTATATTTTGTCTAGTCCACTTGAAGACAGATCAAACTTTAAATAGATGTATGTGAATGCTTTACCGGTTCATTTACAGGTATCATGTGGAGCAAACTGCAATTTAAAAAAAGAATTATCAGCTAAAATTATCCAAATAAATGCAGATTGTCATGCATTTTTTGCAGATAATGCCTGCTGCAACCTTGAGTGAGATTTAACAACTGTTTTGATTGATCCAAAGTTTTTTACTTGAGTGGAGCAAAGAAATATATTGTGTTGCAAAGAAAATCTGGAGAAATTAAGCCTGGTAAACAAATTCCATTGAGGATWGGTTTGGTTTGGTGAGTCATTAAAGTCTTAACACTTAAAATTAAAACTTTATTTGTTAAAGAACATATTTACCAGTCCATTTTACTTGAAAGAGGTACCCAGAAAGGAGCCAAACTCTTAACCAACAATCCTGTTAAAAATATTTTCTGAAGTCGATGCATATGGATAAAAAAGAAAGTTATATGGGATGTATCTACGTATGTTGTCATGCCTCTCAAACAAAACACATTGGGAAGTTCTCAAAGGTAACACAGAGACTTTTAGTACATTGTGAGTTGTGATAAAAGTCAAAATGAAGATAATTTAATGGTCATTACATTTCTTAAAATACTAAGAGATGGCAACAATATGTTTTTATATTTTTATTGTAGCCTATTTAAAGGCCCTGTTGCACACATTTTAGACAATTTATGCCAACTTGTGAAAATTACGACTAAATTAATCATAAATGTTGTATATTCTTTCTAATTTGTTGATTAGATATTGTAGTATGCTGTACATCCAAATGACGCTTCCAGTGTATTTTTTAATTCCACCTTCAGCGTAGACATCTTCAGTGTTGTACAGAAATATTCACAAGTTGGGATAAGTTGTCCTCAATGTTATAGGGTGACAAAGCCTTAAAATGTCACAATTGTTCAAGAATTTGTTTTTTTGACACGTCCAGAACCCCCCGCACACACATACATACACACAAACACGATTTTTGGCCCACTTGAGCTGATTTTGCTCTGTTGGTTTAAAACTTGGTTTCACTTTATTTCCGTTTAGTTTTAAAAAAAGAGTCTAACTTGTCAGATCCAGTTAAA